GTCTGTGCATGATCTCATGTTTTATTCGGACCCAGAATAAGCCGAGATGAACATCGTGGAGCACTAAACACTCCGTGCAGTGTGTGTTTCATTCATACTCGAAGCCGGAGGCCGCTCTAGCGCAGAAAGTCGTATGAGGAAATTCCTAATATGGACAAAAGCGTCCAGCTATCGCTGAATGAAAACAGAAACGTTTGGAAGCATGAAGACTTTAAACATACGATTGCGACAATATGGTTTATTTGTGTTTGTCAAGTCATCTCCAGGTAATAAATAAAGTATATGAACAATGCAGTGCTAACAGTACTGAAACTATTCTGCCTTATTATGTGATAAAAAAGTGTTTGTAGTATATAAGCAAATCATTATTATTGGTTATTGTCCAGCAGTTATCTGATTTATAACCCAATTAAAAAGCTAGAAATTACAGAAAAATTAAAGTTGACTACAGGCTACACTGCCAGTCAAAAGTTTTTGAACAGTAAGATTTTTAATGTTTTTTAAAGAAGTATCTTCTGTTCACCAAGCCTGCATTTATTTGATCCAAAGTACAGCAAAACAGTAAAATATTGAAATATTTATACTAGGCTATTTCAAATAACTGTTTTCTATTTGAATCTATTTTAAAATGTAATTTATAGTGATTTCAAAGCTGTATTTTTTTGCATCATTACTCCAGTAACACTATCCTTCAGAAATCATTCTGATTTGCTGCTCAAAAAACATGAATAATAATAATTAAAAAAGGTTTCTTTAGCAGCAAATCAGCATATTAGAATGATTTCTGAAGATCATGTGACACTGAAGACTGGAGTAATGATGCTGAAAATTCAGCTTTGCCATCACAGGAATCATTTTAAAATATATTCAAATAGAAAGCAGTTATTTTAAATAGAAAAAATATTTCACAACATTACTGCTTTTGCTGTATTTTGGATCAAATAAATGCAGGCTTGGTGAGCAGAAGAGACTTCTTTATAAAACATTAAAAATCTTACTGTTCAAAAACCGTTGCTTGTAGGTTATATAGATTACAGAAATGTTATTGTAATGTTTTTATATATATATATATATATATATAACATTTCTGTCCCCCTCACTTCTGAAATGATGGCTATGCCCCTGAGTAGGACGGAAGGACAGAGGGGGAAAGCAGAAGCAGGAGAGAAAGGAAGAGAGAACATAAGCCTCATGAAGCAACTACAAAAGGCAAATCAATTGCTGAAACCCAGAGGAGCTATCACCAGTGTCTCAGTAGACACCCTACAACCCCATTCCCTGCGTCAAAAATGCTAGAAGCAAAACAGCACGCTGATATTAAATCTAAATGGAAGTTCCTGCATGAGGGCTGGCACCTTGAAAACAAAGAGGTATAGATCAAAGGCATTTTCCCCCACATTCAGAATTATCTGGCTACATTAGCAGAGACACTTACAAACAGCAATTATTAAAGCTGATGGAGGTCTTGGGTTGCATAAGGCTGATCGTATTAATTAAATTATCCAATTTCAGATTTGCAGGGCAGAGAATATATAAACATGATTCAACTGACTACAGTGGTGCAAAAGCATTATTTAAAAATAATTTTATTTATATAATGTGAAAGAGATAAATGGATAGTTTAATAAAAATGAAATATATAATAAATATAAAACACACTTACTTTTTAAATTAATATAAACCTACATGTCCCCACTTTAGTTTAGGGACTAGTTCTCACTATTAACAAACTATAAACAATTGACTTTTGCTACTGACAAATTATTGACCTTTGCTTCAATAAACTCATAATTTGCTGCATAATAGTTAGTTGTTAGATTTAGGTATGGAGCAGGATTAAGGGATATAATATATGGTCAGGCATTAATATGTGCTTTATATAAGTACTAATAAGTACTAATAAACAGTCAGTAATATATGCATGCTAATAAGCAACTAGTTAATAGTGAAAATTGCTCCCTAAGGTAAAGTGTTACTCTACACATTTAGTTTACCAGTTTAGAACAATGGAAGTATTTGAAAGTTCTTTGAAATGTTATTTAAGTTATATAAAGTTTTTTTGTTTTGCAGTTTTGATTCAATTAGTAGTATAGAAATGTTACACTTCAGCTTCAATTTAAACCGTATATATACCTAAACTACTATCTGTGGTTCAAGCTTCTAACCATGAACAGACTCCCTGTTATTCCTTGGTAAATAACTAGTGGTGAAATCCAGAAATCAGTGTCCTCCTGAAAGCTACAAGTCCCATTTGGTACAGCCAGGATATGCTACGTGACTGGGATGAGGTGCTTTTTTGTTGGAACCCCGTATTTTGCTTTTGCCAAACATTTTGGCATCAACAATTTGAGACAGACGAGAATATTCTTTTGGAGAGCTGTGATTTCCTCCTTGATTTTTTCCCCCAGGTCACCTCTTTGTGCCTTATGCAGAAAGGTGAGTGTATACTCATTCATTCTTGCCATACTGTTCTTTTCAAACGCTTTGAGGATTGTTGTTGTAGTCATTTTACTTGGACAGGGAATTGGTATTCTGTTATCTTCAGGTACACATTTTCTACATGGCCACAGGTTCTTAGCAATATTTTACACTTCATATCTTTTTCAGCATCAACAATTTCTGTGGGGTCTTCAGACATTTTTTTTTATCATGGCATGAAACCTACTATGAAGAGACACTCCTGAATAGCAAAAGGAACCAATTTTGCATTCGTTGTACAGGGAAGGGCCATTCAATTCTGAACTCTCCATAATCAACCTGCCATATGGCCAAATAACACATAAGCACTGTTCCAAACCTTAGTGAGATGCCTGCAGAGGAAGCAATTTAAGGCATCATATGCATGTGAAGGTTGTTCCTTAAGATAGTCATCTTAATCATGCTGCCTCCTAAGATACCTCAGTTTAGCCAAATTCTAAGGCAGCATCACATGCATAGTTTCCAGAGAAGACAATTCCAGGCAGGGCTCAGTGAAAATAATCCAAGATGTCAACCGAAATGTTCATTATAAATAAGTGTAACTCAAACCTTGTGAAACAGAAGTGTGCTCAGATCTTAAAAGATTATTTTAAAAAATGCAGTTCATTTAAAATAATGAAACAAAAATTAAGTGTACTTAAAAGGAAAATATCTTCATGACTATGCTTCTTAACACATTAAGTACACTTTAAAAACATTATTTAAATTAAATTAAAGTACATTTAAAATCTTTATTTTTTAATAATCTTTTGTCATGCTTTAAAGATGTATACTTTGATGTCTTGACTAAAATTTAAAAGCACATGTAAACAACTTGATAATCATTTTTATTTTTACTTTAATTACATCGAAGTTTTAGTTTACTATAAACGCTCATCAGTACACTTAGAAAAATGATAACATTTAATTAACTAGTTTTATTCAAAATATTATTTAGCATCACTCAATCAACCTAAATACATTAATTTACACTAACAAAATAATTATGGGTTAAATGAGGTAAAAGTGGCTCTTAAAGGTAACAATTTCGTTACCACTTTTTACAGTGTACATTCAACACGTTAACCTTTTTAAAAGAGAATTATATAATTATACAAAAATGTACTTAAGTGGGTCAAACAAAACCAGTTTTGTTCAACTAATTTCATTTAGCATAAATTTGAACAATAATACATTTTCATTGAATTGCATGCAATTATTTGCCTGAATACATTACATTTACTTGCACTCAAGCAAAGAAAAGATTAAGAAAACTGTGTGTTTTGAGTTTGGTGCAAGTTTCTCACATTGCATCTCACAATGATTGCATATTATGTCAGTAGCATGCAGTCTTTTGTGTCTGTACAAATGGATTTGACCAAACGAGTGTCGATGAAAGCAGTCTGGTTGAATGCATTTTCGACTACTTCTGGAAGTGGTGTAAAGTGGATGAGCTCAACATTTTAGACCCTTAAAGGGCTCATGAACTGCAGAAACCAAAATTCCCTTGATCTTTTGATATATAAGAGGTCACTGTACTATAAAAACATCCTGTAAGTTTCAGAATGCAACACCTTCTCATTAGTCTAAAAACAGCTTACATTGAATCCAGTCTGCCAAAACGACAGTTTGTGGAATGTACAACTCTATGATGTAACAGTGTGGCTAAACTCTACCTCGGCAGAAGAAGATCAACGCCTGCTTCTACATCGCTGCCTTTTTAGCCCCGCCCACCGATTCACGCATGTAGTATTTACAAGCGAACACAGGTCTACGCAGAAACCAAACAATAAAGATGCTCTGAAGACAACAAGACACTGTACAATGCCAAGTTGTGATAAAAACAGTCTTTGCATCGCCTTCCTTATGATCCACACATTAGGAAAGAGTGGAGAAATGTTATTTTTAATGAAGTTTCAGACCGTGTTAGTAAGAAGTCTTTTTTCGTTCACTTCATTTTACCATGGATTCGTTTACAAACAAGGCACAATTCGACACGAGATTTTCAAAAAGATTGAAACTAAAAGACGATGCTGTGCCGACTAGGCTATATTGGATCTGACAGTAATGTCGCAACACACGTGTAAGTAACTGTTTTTATTACATGATCACTGTTGCTTTGTCTGTTAAACGGATCGTTTGATATGAGTATTTATGCATTTTTAACCTAAATCACAGCAGCGCCCATCTGTGAAGGACACGGACTGTTAAACATACACAAGTGTGCCAATCATAGCAGTGGACGTTTACTTCCGAGTCTACAATCTGCCACACTTATTCAAACGGAGCAGAGAACAATACAAAATAAAAAACAGAGGCAGTTCATGACCCCTTTAATACCAGGTGAAAACAGGGCAGCAGCTTCCTGTATAGACAGAAAGTAGCTGACTACATTTTAGTATAGATCTTTACGCAAACAAATAATTTGCACTGAGTAAAAGCTCAAAAGACTCTAATAGGGCTGAGGAAAGCAGGCAAAAATATCTCATAATAAGGCTCCATATTTATATTATCTATAACATGGCTTGACAGAGCTTGCTTACCTCAATTGTGCAGAGACTCGAGAAGGGCAAGATATTGTAATGGTTCGCCTGGCTGAATTTTACAGTGCAAACAATTTGTAAGGGCAGGCGAGCTGTGGACTAGGGGTGAAATATGAAGGCTTTAGTGCTGGCCCCCTGGCTCTGCGTTAATAATGGTGGATGAGCTGCAAGTGGAGGCAACAAGAAGTGCACTGAAAGAACCTCAGATTTAGAAACAGAACTTTAAGCCTGCACAAAAAAGGTTTAAACCTCCAATTTTCTGGATGTTGTAAACAGTTAATTCTTATGCCACACATGAAGCTCCCTGGACAGGCTTGCTGGCTTTACAATCCTATGGAAACTCATGCTTGTAACAAAATTGGGTTTCTAAATCTTGGTCGACATAATTCATGTCTTCCGGAGCTTTCAGAGCAAGAGGATGTACAAATATTCTGACACGCCACATAATGAAAGAAGGAGCCTTTAGCAAGAGTGGGATTATTTTCAGTTCGCCAGAAACATTAAGATTAGCTCAAGCTGTGAGTAATGGTTCCAGGCATTAGGGGAAAAGAAATAACGCCAGTGAAACCAAGAGGAGAACACATAGCAGTTTACAACTAGACAGCATCAGCCATACTAGACTACGAATTGTGGGAACAAAACTAAATCAAGCCTTTAGCAGACATGATATATGTGGCACTAATGATCACATGATGTATACACCACATGCATTGCTAATGACATACTATATGATTCAGGCTTAAAAATAGATATTTCAGACTATTTCATGCCATCAACTGAAGTGAAAATGGACGGGATTGATTTGAAATGCAAGCTGCAGGAGTATCATTTGCTTACAGTCTGTTTTGATGCAGTATAATTATATAACAAACAAAATTATAGCTATAATTGATTTCCCTAGTGAGGATATTGTGTCATATGAGTGCAGGTCTGTCAAATGCATCTTGTTTGTCAAACTGACCATCTGTTATATTTGCTTATATGTTAAAAGGATAGATGATCCAAAAATAAAAATTCTTTATCATTTACTCACCCATACACTCTTAAAAAAGGAAGGTTCCAAAGGGGGGTTTTCACTGAGATAGCAGCGGAAACAAACCACTTTCTGAATTCCGCCTTTAGCAAGAGTGGGATTATTTTCAGTTCGCCAGAAACATTAAGATTAGCTCAAGCTGTGAGTAATGGTTCCAGGCATTAGGGGAAAAGAAATAACGCCAGTGAAACCAAGAGGAGAACACATAGCAGTTTACAACTAGACAGCATCAGCCATACTAGACTACGAATTGTGGGAACAAAACTAAATCAAGCCTTTAGCAGACATGATATATGTGGCACTAATGATCACATGATGTATACACCACATGCATTGCTAATGACATACTATATGATTCAGGCTTAAAAATAGATATTTCAGACTATTTCATGCCATCAACTGAAGTGAAAATGGACGGGATTGATTTGAAATGCAAGCTGCAGGAGTATCATTTGCTTACAGTCTGTTTTGATGCAGTATAATTATATAACAAACAAAATTATAGCCATAATTGATTTCCCTAGTGAGGATATTGTGTCATATGAGTGCAGGTCTGTCAAATGCATCTTGTTTGTCAAACTGACCATCTGTTATATTTGCTTATATGTTAAAAGGATAGATGATCCAAAAATAAAAATTCTTCATCATTTACTCACCCATACACTCTTAAAAAAGGAAGGTTCCAAAGGGGGGTTTTCACTGAGATGCCATAGGAAAAAAAACATTTAAGGTTCCCAAAAGAACCTTTCAGTTAATAGTTCTTAAAAGAACCATTTTTTTTATTGTGAAAACATTTTAATAATCTAAAGAACCTTTCTCCGCTCCAAAGAACCTATGGTGCAATAGATGTTAAAGGTTCTACATGGAACCATCAACGCCAATAAAGAACTTTTATTTTTAAAAGTGCATGTCGTTCCAAAACTGTATGGCTTTCTTTGTTCTGCATACCACAAACTTTGAATTTTTGAATAATGTTATTGTCCATACAATAAAAGTCAATGGGGTACAAAAACATCTGTATGTTTTATGTATGGACTAACACATCATCTTGTGAGTTCATGCAGAAGCAAGTGAGTAATACGGTTTTGGAACAATATGAGGATTGAGTAAATAATTATTTTTGGGTGAAAGCAAAAAGCAGCACACTCCTCTCCAAAAGAGAGGGAAAACATGCCAAAATCGGCCAGAGGTTTTTTACACATCACACAAACAATGTGGGAGAGAAATAAACCAACACAATGCAGAGGATTTTTTTTGTTTTTTTGTCTCAATTCTATGAAGGGGGGGAGTTGTGGCCTAATGGTAAGCGAGTCAGACTCGTAACCCAAAGGTTGTGGGTTCGAGTCTCGTACCGGCAGGGATTGTAGGTGGGGGGAGTGAATGTACAGCACTCTCTCCCACCTTCAATACCACGACTGAGGTGCCCTTGAGCAAGGCACCGAACCCCCAACTGCTCCCCGGGCGCCGCAGCATAAATGGCTGCCCACTGCTCCGGGTGTGTGTTCACGGTTTGTGTGTGTTCACTGCTGTGTGTGTGCACTTTGGATGGGTTAAATGCAGAGCACTAATTCCGAGTATGGGTCACCATACTTGGCCACATGTCACGTCACTTCACTTTATTTTTGTTTTCTTTGCGTAGAAAAAGTAATCTCGTAGCTTCGTAAAATTACAGTTGAACCATTGATGTCACATGGATTATTTTACCGATCTCCTTGCTACGTTTCTGGACCTTGATCGTGGTAATTACATTGCTGTCTATGGGAGGATCAGAGAGCTCTCAGAAGTCATCACAACTATGTTAATTTGTGTTTCGTAGATGGTCTTATGGGTTTAGAACGACATGAGGGTGAGTAATTAATGACAGAATGTTTGGGTGAACTATCCATTTAAAGTCAAAAGTTTCCAGAAAATATAATACTCAAGTAAAGTACAGATACTCAAAAAGTGTACTTAAGTACAATACTCAAGTAAATGTACTTGGACGATGGGCAAAGTAACCTAAGTGTAATCTATACTATGCATAAAAACCTACCTTTTTATAGATATAACCCATACAATATTTTAATACAACTGACATTGTATTTAATGTGAATTTCATAAAAAAAACATTGCAAGTCACTACTTGAATTGTACAGAAAGAGAGCGAAGAACATTTCACTGACTTCAGTTACCCCTGACTCTCAAAAACTCCCATTAAAATCTCTGAAGCTGTTTACACTTTGAAATGAATGTCTTATTTACATCGTACGCACATCTGCACTTTGTTTTTTTTACGATGAGAGAATTCACCAAAGAGCAGAATTCAGTCAGCAAGCGCACACACTGAACCAAACACAGACGTTTCAGCGATGACTCATCTGAATGCCTCTGATTGGTCATTGCATTCATAAGCTCAACAGAATCATGTATGATTGGTTTTAATGCACAGCGCTGTAAAAACATGTCTGTCTCTGCCATGGCTGCTTTCGGAGGATACATTTCAAGGTAGGTATGCATAAAGGCACGTTCAAATCTAGTGTTAGATTCAATTCCTGCCTCCTAAAATACCTTCATCTGGCCGAGTTTTGAAGGCAGCATAGATGTATCCTTCGCTGCCTTTGATATCCCACAATCCTGAGACTTTTGACTTGTTTAAAATGTCCTACATTTCAACTTAATTTTATGATATCAGTTTTGTGTATATATATATAAATATCAGTTTTAAAATCATACACTGACTTAAAATAAGGCGAACGGTTTCAGTTTCTTTGCCACACTCCCTCCAAACCTGTCTGTTTCATGGAGTATGGAGTATGGCATGAAATTCTGTGAACAAGTCAGATTACTTTTAAAGCCGCAACAAATGCACGTGTGCAGCTAAACAATGTAATTACTCCAAAGAACCTATGGTGCAATAGATGTTAAAGGTTCTACATGGAACCATCAACGCCAATAAAGAACTTTTATTTTTAAAAGTGCATGTCGTTCCAAAACTGTATGGCTTTCTTTGTTCTGCATACCACAAACTTTGAATTTTTGAAGAATGTTATTGTCCATACAATAAAAGTCAATGGGGTACAAAAACATCTGTATGTTTTATGTATGGACTAAAACATCATCTTGTGAGTTCATGCAGAAGCAAGTGAGTAATACAGTTTTGGAACAATATGAGGATTGAGTAAATAATTATTTTTGGGTGAAAGCAAAAAGCAGCACACTCCTCTCCAAAAGAGAGGGAAAACATGCCAAAATCGGCCAGAGGTTTTTTACACATCACACAAACAATGTGGGAGAGAAATAAACCAACACAATGCAGAGGATTTTTTTGTTTTTTTGTCTCAATTCTATGAAGGGGGGGAGTTGTGGCCTAATGGTAAGAGAGTCAGACTCGTAACCCAAAGGTTGTGGGTTCGAGTCTCGTACCGGCAGGGATTGTAGGTGGGGGGAGTGAATGTACAGCACTCTCTCCCACCTTCAATACCACGACTGAGGTGCCCTTGAGCAAGGCACCGAACCCCCAACTGCTCCCCGGGCGCCGCAGCATAAATGGCTGCCCACTGCTCCGGGTGTGTGTTCACGGTGTGTGTGTGTTCACTGCTGTGTGTGTGCACTTTGGATGGGTTAAATGCAGAGCACTAATTCCGAGTATGGGTCACCATACTTGGCCACATGTCACATCACTTTTT